CTTTAAATTTCTGGAAATGAACTTTGTAATGCAAACACTGCCTCCTTCACCATAACCTCATATTACTGAAAAATATCTACAAGTATGTCCTTGGGAAAACTGTCCAGATTTGATCTTCACAAAATACAAATTAATAGTGTGAGCTCACAAACATGTGCCCTGCCACTTAGGAAGTGTCAAATGAGAGTACAGAGAATGTTAGTTTCCATTATATATTTTTAAAACAAGTAATTAATTGTGTTTGTTTCCTTTTCCTGGTAATGTAATTTCCAAGCTGAGGAAACAGAATATCTGTGACTATTAATCCTGTCTCTCTGTGTGACTCACTGAAGCAACACTCCTGCCTATTTCTCTGCCAGAGGGAATTCCCAAAACTCAGTTTGTTTAGAGGGAACTGTGGGGAAGTTGAAACCAATTCTACCTTGTTCTTTTAAATTTAGGTTTTGCCCCTCTTTTATACCACTGGAGAAATTTGTCATAAACAGACATTTTTTGGTCATTGCTAAGGTATAGGAATATAGTGAGAAAGGGAAGTTAAATCTGTTTGGTAAGAAAGCTGGCTTAACTCTTATCTCATTGCAGAGTTGATCAGGGAGCCCTCGTCCTGCAGGACTGTTTGTGTGTCCCAGTAATGAGCGCTTGGTGTCTGAGACAGGGGTCCTCTGAGGTTTTCTGACTCCTCACTTCAAGGAATGCTTTCTTTTCTACCATCTTCTTCTCATCAGAGACGTAACAGTAGTGACATTCTATTAAACATTCCAGCTGCAGGTGCACGCCCTGAGCTCTGCTTTATAATCTTGCTATTTTACAAAAGCGATCCACAATTTTCACTGGTTTTCACAAAGAGTTGCCGTGCATAGCTCACATGTTCTCCAGGCTTTTGTTCATCACGTTCCCGGAGTTTGTTTCATGTGACTCACACACTACACCGACATCAGGTGTACGATGATGCTCCTCTCTTCCCTGGGGTGTCAGCCTTTCCTCCCTGTGCCCTTCGTAGTTTCCCAGCTAGAACTGTGCCCCACGGTAAAAGATACTGCTCCATTTAGCCTCAGCTTAAACTCACCTGCATGAAGCAGGACCAGGGTCATGTCCCAGAACCTTTGGCCCTAGATAGTAACGAGGACAAAGTTGGTGAGGTTAAGCTGCAGAGCAATGACAAGCCAAAGCATGTTCTTCCATGTATATAAGGATGGTCATATACTTCCTGGCCCTGGACATGAATATTGTTTATTTATTTATATCTCACTCAATTTTAAGATGCATGGATGATTGTGTTCATGCTGTATATGAGAAAATACATGGATCATCCAGATCTTCCCTCTCTACATGATTGCCCACAAGGTAATAGACGTCCACACTTACTGATGTCTGCTAACGAGTTTATCTTCCCTACATTCCCTGCTTCACCCCTGACCATTGGCCTGAGTACAATGACTTGAACATTCATCACTGTTTTGGGGCTCTTTTGATGATGCCTCATGTCACAGGATTGCCCATCATAAGGGCAAAACAGATGTCTAAAATATCTGCTTCTGTGATCCATGTAATAAAGGAGTCTTAACTCTGTTATTCTTCCTCTGAAGATATCGCAGGCACCACTACCAGCTCAGACTGCTCTTTAGTGGTTCTTTGTTTTATTCTCTTAATTGTCTACTTCAACTTTCCTTCTTCATCCAAAGGTAGTCTTATCTGATGTGACCAGTTCCCAAAATTTTCCTTATTGTCCTTGCGATTCATGTCTTTGTTTGTGATGGACAAGAGAGCCTTGCCTGTGGAGGACAGAGAGGGCATCAGATCTCCTATAACTAACGTTACAGCCGTTGGTAGCTGCTATCTGGGTGCTAGGAACCAAACCCAAGTGCTCTGGAAAAGCAGCCAATGGTTTGACTGTTGAGCCCCCAAAATGCAATGTTTACACACGGCACATAAAGTGAGCCAAATGTTGTCTCTGTAGCCATGGCTCCCACAAGCCATGTTTGAAGAGGGTCTCCCTAACTAGTGTGCAGATGCCGGAGAGCTCCTGTTCTTCCCTCATCTTCTAAAGCAAGCTTAGTGGGTGGACCTGAGTATCGGGAGGGAGGCATGGTGGAGGAGAAGACACTAACAGGATACTCTCTAGCCTGTGTTCATAAAGGGCTCACATCCCCCAGAACCTATTTACAAATAAAATAATGTGCTATAAAGAAAACAGTGATACACCTTATACTACATATCAGTATTAAACATATATATATGATTGTGTTGTGTGTCCCACAGAAAATTTGAACAATTAGGGTTATATTTCTCATCCTTGAGGGATGCAAACATAAGTGGCTGCTTCTAAATGTACCAAATTGTGTCAGTTGTTTTACTTGGTACTTAATAGGAAACTGTCATCTTCCAGTCACAACAGGGTTGGCACACATAACGACTCACAGAAACTATGGCAGCATTCACCAGGCCTACACAGGTCTCAGTCACATGGGGTCCTGGCTGAGAGGAGGAAGTAGTCATGAGCTCCCATCTCTAACCACACTTAAGGGCAGGTCCTATGCCCAGCAGCAGATGGCCAACACAAAACAAACTCAATGATGGATTTGTAGAGCTTTCTATTTGTCTCATATTGCTTTGTTTGGGCATTTTTTAATCTTACTGGGCTGATATTTTTATGGTTATGGCTGTGTGTGTGTGTGCTTCTTGTTCTTTTTCTTTGTTTTTTTTCTTTTATTGTGTATTATTATTAATTATTACTATTATTATTACTTGCCTGTTTGTTTTCTAAAGGAAGAGAGAAAGAAGGTGTGGAGTTGGATGGGTAGGAGGTGGGGACCACCTGGGCAGAGATGTGGGAGGGGAAATTGTGCTTAGAATATACTGTATGAAAAAATATTTTCAATAAAAATAGCTAAACTGAGAAACTCTTGGGACTGCCGCAGACACTGCCTCCGATAATGAGTGGCATAAGAGGTGCTCGTCAGTCACATCTAACATCCTTGTGCTCACTGACACTCACCATTCTTTCGTCACTCCTAGCAATAGCCAATCTTGGACCCAAAAGGAAACTCGTCTATCTTTTCCTTTGCCCCCTCCCTTTCCACCCTAGAAACACCTGACTTGTGGGGGGCAGGCTATAATTCTTTTGCAGGTCCCCTCCCACACACAAATAAAACTTTGCAGTGCCAAAAAAGAGCCTTGGAGAGATGGCTCAACAGTTAAGGGTGTATACTGCTTTCGCAGAGGATCCATGTTCTGTTCCCAACACCCAGTTCAGGAGCTCACAAATCAGATCCAGACTACTGACCTTCTTCTGGCCTCAGCAGACATCTGCACACACAGGCACACACCCACAGACACATACACACACACACACACACACACACACACACAATTTAAAATCTGGATTTTTTTGGGGGCTTGGGGGGGTTGTTTTTTGTTTTTTAGGAATCCTTAACATTTCTCTATTCCTTTATTATCCTATATTACAAAACTACGTGGTCTGAAAAGCCATATGAATTCCACATACCTGCTGAGAAACCTATGTTTCTACCAGTAAGTAACTGGATTTTGTTCAAATCAACTAGTCATTCTAGCATGTGATTTACAAAGCATGTGAGATCTATACTCCTCTTTGGGAAGTTAAAAAGTCTAAAATTCTACCAAAGGCTATTCTGAGGTTTCAATAACCTTGCATCCTCTGTCTTTTAACAGAGGTGAACTGATCAACTGCTGAAAGAAGTGCACTAAGTATCCCAAGTTACATGTGTGAGAAACTGTATCATACTAAAAAGCAATTGTTTCTTTTTTATAGCCATCATTATATACCAGAAAACACTCTCACCCTTGGTATGTATCGCTCATCTTTCTCTCCTATGAGATTGTTATTATCTAAACTAGGATTGAGCGTAACATATAAACAAGACGACTGAACTCTAGAGTTATAGGTGACTTAAGATCACACTCATACTATAGCTGCTCATAGATGCACATCCAAACAGTGTGAAATCATGGTCCACAGGTGCCAGCATTCCCTCTGCTGATGTAGCGAGGTCTGATCTGGTGGTAAATCAGCTAGGATAAAGTCAATGCTAAAGGAGTGTACCTATGCGTTCATCTGATCCACTGGACTCTACCTGGAAGAGTCTCAGCTCCATTTCTTCACAACTTCCTCATTTAAGTCTACCAAAGATAGGTAACTGCTGCTACATACTGATGATCCAGAAGACGCAGGTCAAGGGGCTCAGGGTTTATCTCAGATGGCAGAGTGCTCACTTCACATATACAGTGCCCCCTGGGTTTGATCCTGGGCACCACACAAACCAGGTTTGATGGTATATACCTATCCCAGTACTGAGGTGTTGGAGGCAGGAGAACTAGAAATTCAAGGTCATTCTTAGCTATATAGTGTCTTCAAGGCCAGCCTGTGCTACATGAAACTCTGTCTCAGGAAAAAAGGTAAAAGAGGAGGAAGAGGAAGATTAAAACCAAACAAGACATTGCTCTTGCCCTGAGGGGGAAAAAGGTGCTAATCAAGAAATGCTTGCTGTACTACATGGCAGCTTTTATTGTGTAAGAAAGTATATACTTTCTTTTCTTTTGTTTGTTTGTCTGTTTTGTGTTGTTTTTAAGACAGGGTTTCACTGTTTAGGTCTGGCTGTCCTGGAACTCACTCTGTAGACCAGGTTGGCCTTAAACTCACAGAGATCTGCCTGTCTCTGCCTCCTGAGTGCTGGGATTAAAGGTGTGTACCACCATTACCCAGCAAGTGTATACTTTCTTAAGGATATACTTCGTACTGTGGGAGCTAGCAGTGGGAAACAGAATCCAGGAGTGATAGAAAGTGATGGGAAAAGAAAGAAAGAGATGGTTTCTGAAGAACATGAGGAGACAGGACAGGGTGCTCTGTGATTGATTGGTGGGGGCAACAGTGTTGACTGGGATTGATGAAGACAGCAATAGATACCAAATGAGCTTTCCTCTTCACTTTCAGATATGCCCTGTGTGTTTCTTTCCCCCATAAGATGAACAGAAACAACCCACTGTACGATGACCATGGCATAAGAAATGCCTTTTTTTCTGAAATTGCCTTTGGGATCTCAGCCAATACTGTCCTTCTGCTGTTCCTCGTGGTCATGTTCTTTCGGGAGCACAGACACAAACCCACCAACTTGATAACTGGTCTCTTGGCTCTAAGCCACATAGTGATGCTGCTGACCATGGCCTTCATAGCTACCGACATTTTGGGGTCCCAGAGTTTTTGGGATAACTTCACCTGTAGATCAGTCATTTCCTTGTACAGGGTGATGAGGAGCATCTCCATTTGTGCTACATGTCACCTGAGCATCCTCCAGGCCATCATCCTCAGCCCCAGAAGCTCCTCCTTGTCCAAGTTCAAACACAAATCCTTACTTCACAACGCATGCTGCTTTCTTTCCCTGTGGACTTTCTATATGTCCATTAGTGGTTTCATGAATTCCATTGTTGCCACCCCCAATGTGACTTCGCACGTTCTTATATTCGTCACTAAATCCTGTTCTCTCTGGCTTTTCAGTGACTTCAGATACTTACTTTTTGTACTGGCTGTCTTCCGGGATGCCATTCTTGTAGGGCTCATGGTGCTTTCAAGTGTTTATGTGGTAACTGTCTTGCACAGGCATAAAAGGCAGTCCCAGTATCTTCATAGCACCAGCATGTCCCCCAGAGCATCTCCAGAGCAGAGGGCCGTCCGTACCATTCTGCTGCTACTGAGTTTCTTTGTGGTCATGTACTGCCTAGACTGCATTGCCTCCTCCTCGAGAAATATGTGGAGTAATGACCCAACTCACCGCTGTGTTCAGATGTTTGTGTCCAGTGGCTATGCCACACTCAGCCCTTTGGTGTTCATGAGCACTGAACAACGTATAAGTAACTTTTTGAAAACCATGCAAGGTGGACAGTAAATGTTGGATTATTCTGTGGTAAACAAGCTTCCTGAACACGAACATGAACACTGGCTTCAGGGTAATCAATCATGGTATACTATATATGATCTTTGGGTTAGATAAAAAATAGACATAGAAATATTTTCTTTGTTAAGCCTATTTTTATGTATGCATCAAAAATACACAGTCTACAATTAAAGATTATGCCATTTTAAAATAACACAAGTTGCTAATAACTTTAGTTGTGGTCAGAAAGAAGACTCAATCATTGCAGCATGGAGTAGCTTACATATTAGATGTGAGAATTTACAACACTTTTAATACATCACTAGTCATGGTGATCTGTATTTCACTGACTAGGTATATAAATATCATGAATCAGCATGCTATTTACTTTGACCTACAGATGTAACAAAAACCCTATAAAAATACACATGGCGCTTTTTTTTATAGAAATATGTCTGAAAATCCTAAATCCTCCATAAAAAGACACCCCTTCTGTTTAAGGGTGTCCTGTTAAATGCAGGTGCTGCTACCATGACAGTGTTAGAGAAGACACATCTATGACCTTAGCACTTGGGAAGTGGAGCCAGAAAGACCAGGTGTTCAAAGGCAGATTTAGCCACACAGTGAGTTCAAGGCCAACCTAGGCTACATGAGACCCTGTAGAAGGAGGAGAGGGAGAAGAAATTATTAATCAATGAAAGCTCTTCCTTTGTGATTCAAACTCAGATTTTACATATCAAGAAGGCCCTCATCATATATCAGTGCCTTAGTCTTGCAATTCCCACAATCCAAAAGTTCCAGATTTTCCAGGAGCATCTCAAGTCTGAAGTCATGTGAGCATCATAAAGTGCCTTCAGAAATTAAATCACAGAAAGCAATCACTGATCAGATACAAAAGATTTTCTCGGGGCTTAGGTGCACCTAAAAACAATTCCAACACTCCGGCGTTCACACTAGATACAATGGTTTTAATAATTTCCCCACTACAGGGGGAAGCTACAGTAGTAAGCAATCCCCCTGCCTTAGCTCCTCAAGTGCTGAGATTTCAGGTGCAAGACACATCAGACCTCCACTTGACATCTTTTGTTTGGTTTCGTCTATTTTTTTTTATTTATTTTCACCCCCTCTACCCTCTTTTGCATTACTGGAAATCAAAGTTAGTGCCTTGTGCACACTAGGAGAGCTTTCTGCCACCAGCTATACCTGAACCTGCTCTTGCTATTTTTATTGCATTCCCTTTTTGTTTCTAGCTTCTTAACCTGAAAATACAGTTGTTGCTGCTGTTTTTCAATTTTTAACTATTAAGTAAAACAGAATGACTATACCTATTAACTCAGAACTCTAAGAAACCAAAAGTTTCTAAAAGCTGAGAAAACATTTAACCCCAGAAATGGCTGACTTTGTTAATGACACCACGCCCTCCAGTGTCTAAATGGCTCTACACCTCTTTCCCTGACCCGCGTGGTACCTTGGAAAACTGGGAGTCAGCAATCACGGTGAAAATGTGTGCCTGACTGGACGACTTCCAAAGCTCCACCCAGAGAGCTGTCATTTAGTCTGGAATTCCCTGAGAAAACATCAGAGGTAGTCTGCTTTGCCTTGCCTGTATCTTACCCAGTATACCTTTCTCTGGGACTGTTTGCAGGAACAGGCAGAGACAACAATGTACTCTACCGGCCTCTTGCGGCGACAGGTGTGTGCACTGTAGATTTTGGTAAGAAGAATCTGACAAGGTCTTACTCTTTAGCTGTGGCTGACAATGGCACCTCGTATGGGCAGCAAGTCCAATACAAGGTTACAACTTTCCTACCCCAAATGCTGACGAAATGTCCCAAACATACAGTGTCCCTAGGAGTAGAAGAGACTCACCAGTTCTATGCTTCGTTTTCACTAACACATATTAGTTCTATGTTAACAATGTTAAGTGGAGTACTTCCATATGTCACATGAGATGAATGGATCACATTCAACAATCCCTCTTCCCCATTCTCCGCTCATCTTCCCCAGTACCATTTCCGGTCCCTGGTAATCACTATTTATTTTTTAGCTGCATGTCTTTCTTTTATTTTTAATTTTAAAAATTTAAATTTTTTATCTATTCGTTTTTCAAGACAGGGTCTCTCTATGTAGCCTTGGCTGTCCTAAAACTCACTGTGTAGACCAGGCTGGCCTTGATCTCAGAGATCTGCCTGCCTCTGCTTCCCAAGTGCTGGGATTAAAGGCGTGTACCATTACCGACCACCTACATGTCTTTCTTTTAAAATGAAAATAAATCTCTCTAATTAATAGCTAGGCAGTGTAGTAGCAGAGCAGCATTTTGTGGCTTCGCAGATGGCCCAGAATGAGCCCGTCTGCACATCTCCAAGACCATGATTGTAATATCCCAGCTAGGCATCTTTTCATCTCATTGTCCTCAGTCAGGACATTGAGTCAGAAGACAAGAAAAGTTATGGAGAATGGAGACAGGAGAAGGGAAAGAAATTCCTTCCCTGGCACCCTACTTTATTTTCTGATGCTGTGATAAACACCACGACTAAAAGCAACTTGGGGAAGAGAGGGTTTATTTGGTTATTGGTGGCAGTTCCTCAGCCAGGGCAGCCAGGGCAGGAGCCTCAAGCAGGAACCATGGAGGAGAGCTGCTACTGGCTTCTCTCTTCGGCGTGCTCATTAGAGCAGGTGCCTACGGGTTAGTGCCCTGGGCTTTTGCTTGTGTTTGTACTCTTAAACAGCCTAGGTCTACCTGCATAGGGACGGCACCACCTAGAGTAGGCTGGACCCTCCTCCATAAATAGCAACTAAGAAAATGTCTAACAGCCATGGCCACATTGCCACATCGGGGGCAATTCTTCAGCTGTGCTTGGCTCTCTCTTTCCAGGTAACTCTGTCTGTGTCAAGTTGATAGCTGAAGCTAACCACGGCCCCCAGGAATCTGGCTGAACCCTCTCATCAGGCAAAAAAAAAAAAAAACAACAAAAACAAGAATCCCACCACAATTAACAGCTGTCTTTCCCTCTTCTGAACTATAAACATGCAATTTTCTAGGAATCCCACCAGAAAGCCCACTGTGGAGGGAAGTGGGGAGCATGTATGAGAAGCCTCAATGCCACACCAACTCGTGTTGTCTGTGTGACATGACATACGTCATTATGCCGGACAGGAGCTGCGTGTCCTATGGGACCAGGCTCCCTGGAGGTCAATGGCCCGGTATTGGCCGCCCGTGGGGAATAGACGGGTTTCTCGATTAGCTGGCTATGCGGGATATGGGTTTTGCACAATCTCTTTTATAATAATGATATTCTTCATATCTACAAAACAAGGATTATCTCTTCAGTAACAGCTCTGGGATAGGGAAGCACAGTATGGGAATGTATAAGACTACAGCAGAACCTTTGTCATACACGGGGTGTATGATGAGCAAGGGAATAGATGGGTTAATGTTGATAGACAAAGATTGTTATGTTATACTCTGAACTTTATGAATAGGCTTGCTAGATCCCAACCCCCATGGTGTCTGCTGCATTAGAAGGTACTAAAAAGTGTATTTCAACAGGTGCAGAGAGCTGATTAGGCATATTTGGTCACTAAATGAGATAAAGAGTTAGAAAGAGGAGGGGCCATGATAGCGATAATGAGACAGAAACTTTCTATTCATAAGATGAGACCACTTGTCCAAGGTTTACGTTCCCAAGGACAAGATTTCCTCTTCTAAGGATGCTTTATGTCTAACGCCTGTCCCTGATAATATGCTTTTCTTTTAATATCGCTGATGTGACTAAAAGAAGCTTTCATACTGTGCCAACCAATGATACATGATCTTCTGGTTTGTTCTTTGTTTGAATACTATATAATGAAAACATGAATTCAGTAAAATCGCAGCAGATTCCAACCACTCTCTTGTGTGTTGTGTCTGTCTGTCATTCGCTGAACTTGTGCCTTCCTGATTACCAAGACCCTGCTTCTCCCACGGTCTGAGTGGCTCCCCTGAGCCGGTCCGTGGCACCTCTTGAGCAATTTAGTGGCGTCTAGATTTATTTTATGAGATTATAATTCCACTGGGGAACCTCTGGAGTGGCGCTATCATCCCTCTTGTCAACAGAGAAAGAAATGGGGAGGGAGTTTCCTCAACCTTCTTCTGAGCTGCATCTTGAGAACCACGGGCATCCATTATGATTAAGGCTAGGACAACTCATTGTTCCTCTCCTTTCAAGAGCCCACACCCACACTTGGGTGTGTCTTTCTTTCTGAGCACCTCTCCTCCCTACCCCTCAGGCCCAAGCCTCACAGGTCTTTAAAAAAAGATGTCCAACTCTGCCTCAAACTGGCTATGCCTGAAATTCTTTTTGGCATTGAAGCCACAAATCCCAGTTTGGCCTGAATGGAGGTTCCTAGGAGATTAAAGGGACTCCTTTAAGGCTATTTAGGGTGACAAGGTGAAGTTCTGTCTCGGTTCCCTCACTGCTGACAACAGGCTCAGAGGTGACATTAAGGACAATTCAGCAATGAGGGCATAGCCATGGGCGGCGACCTTAGACTGGTTGCCTATGGAGCCTGTACTTTGTGTCTGTTTACTGTTTGCGTTCTTGGGCCAGAGCCCTGGAACAGCAGCATGGGACTGGAGTGGAAAATGGGTTCCCAGCAATTTCCTCACTTCTACAACCCTACCGCCTCGCATGATGCATGGTGCAAAATAATTTGTACTTAAAGGAGAGTATATTGCATAGATAAGATTTGTGTTATAATATGGTCAAAACACAGGTTCCCCACCCCATCCAGCCCTCTCCTGAGGAGTCCCGGAGAACTGAAATGACAGGCTGCGTCACACCGACCTGACAGGTAGCACCAATCCCATCATTTTCGTCATTCTCAGACGCCAACAGTGAGGCCCCTACTTAGGATTCCTTCTCTGTCCAGACTCAGAGACCCTGGCTACCTGCCTAGGACACACAAGACCCGGGTTCAATTCCCCAGCTTCACAAATTAAAATAACACAACAGGTGCCCAAACAGGTGGCC